AGCACAGGGATAAAAAATGAGTAGAAAGCACCGAAAAAATATTTGATAATAAAGATTGCGTATCCAGTCATAAGGGCGCGAGCCAAAGACAATTAACATAACCCTATACTACGATAAACATTGTCCCACTATTTACTAAGTTAGTAATAACTTTTTAAATTGGTGCATTCTGCTATTACAAGCCACATATATTTTTCCTACTATACGGCATTGCATGGTACAGTACTAGTACTAATCTGTGACATTGTTCCTTTTAAAACTAATAGACCTTAAATTTGATCCCGTGCATCCATAAATTGGCTTTGTTCAATCAGAAATGTATAGGCCTATGCCGGTAATTTTTGTTCATGTTCGTGCATGTTTCTCAGATGTAAACATTTCAGAAATAAGTCACAAATTAAACTGATGACTTTGCATGTATAGGACTAATTTCCTTCTTTGCTTTGACATTTCGTCTAAAGCACAGAGTACGGATGTTTGGAAAAAAAAAACCTTATCATTTTTATCATTATTATTTGGCATGCTTCATACACATGTATGTGTGGCAGATTGAAGCATTGCTGAATGCACCAGTTGTATGTCCAGCTTTTTTTATTTGTCTGTTAACATGTACAGACGGAATCATTACCAAATGCGTGAGTGGAACGTAGAGTTCAGTTTTGATTGCTTCAGTAGAACTTTGCCGTGGGTGTGCCATGCTTATGGTAGTATTGGTTTTCACTCGCTGATGTCTTAAATAACATGTGTTGTATTTTACAGAAAAAATAACTACTGTACTTTCGTCAATCCACAAAATGGTGCCATTTGTTTTTCTATAAATGATAGCCATGCACTGTGACATGTATACTATTTTATAGCAGTTTTCACGTCTAAGATTATGGACTGGGGTCGCAATCTGTGACTTTTGTGGTATTTTGATATTAATTAAACAGATTAAACACCGTCCCTGCGAGAGTTAATTTTTGCTGCCTTAACCCTGTGCTGTAAATAGCGCGTCGTTACACAAACAGGAGAATACCAATACCTGAATTACTGACCTATAGTACAATGAACGCTTACAATGCACATAGCAACATGGCGCAATGTTTATTAAGTTAAAGTGAAAGAAGGACGTACGGTACTATTTCCCCAAGGAATAAGTTTATAAATCTAGGAGAAAAAACAACCCACACCATAGCACATCTATAAGCGTACGGAAACCAAGTGTTATGATGATAGCTAGACTGTGTCATGAACATATACTTTGGTAGCATTATTGAACTTACCGTGAGTTGACTTTAATCGAAATACACTTGTGTCGAGCCGCTTGCTTCTTCCTTTTAACGGCGTATTACTGGATAAGAGCTCAACTTTGTCAGTGTACTTCTACAGTATAATTATATGATAATGTTAAGACGATGATATATACACCGTCTTTGGCATAAATGAACATCTAGCCCTGGCAACCAGTCAGTGTACGTGTAAACCCTGCCTCTGATTCAGACCCAGTGTGTGGAGGGGACCACAAAATATAAAGGGTCACATGACTCATCTGGGTTTTTTTGAAGGGAAACTTTTTTAGTCACTTAAAAGAAAAATGCTTTATGGTGAAACAATTTTTTTCCATTTGATAAATATTGATTTAGATATCTCAATAATAATTATTTTAGCGGACTCAGTGACCTCCTTTCTCAATAAAAAAAGAAAAATATGCGTGTTTTGTAATACACAATAGCCTATATATGGCTTGACCTCAATAAGGTCAGCGTGCGTTCAAGGTCATCATATCCACATTAACAAAATGACATCTCTACTCAGCATGTCAGGGGCGCACCCATCCATGTACTTTTGAATCACTGACATAGGATTCATTTCGGACCTGACATAATATAGGATACTATTAATAATTTTAAGTTTGGGATTTATTTTTACAAAAAAAAAAGAAAGTTTAATGAAGCATGGGCGCGGGGAGGGTGTGGAAGGTGAAATGGTGCAGTGTTAAGTAGTTTACATGTACTCACTGACAACAGGGTGCGCTAGTGGTTTGGTACAAATGGTATATTACGTTTAATTTTCTTTTCGGCAAAAAAAAAAAAAAAAAAAAAAACAGTCTGAATGTTGCTCCGTTTTTGCATTCATTCCATCTGTCAGAAAATATGTCGAATAAAACTGGAAAAGTGATCTTAAATGTAATATCTTTCTGCTTGATTTTCCATAAAATCTTGAATTTGCTCAAATAAGCAAATACAAGCGAGAATATGTATCGAGTTGACATTTTTCAGACACCGTTCATTTGAACACAGCTTGTGGACACTCGTGGAGCGTATCAGTAGCTACTTCATCATTCCCTTAAGTGGTGAATTAACTGTTCACATTATAATCAATACCGTGATAGTAAACAGCACTAGTAGACGGAGCTGCCTCCCCTCACCCACGGTCTTAATTCTACGGATGCAGCACTAATGGGTCATGGCACAGGTGCGGGGGTACATGTACGTATCTGTCTTCGTCTCTATTTACACATTTGTTCTTACTTGTTCATCCTGGAATACCTGTCAACCAATATTTGCACCCTCCTCTTCTGGAGCACAACCGTGGATCGCCAAGCACCACTAACACAATCCGAGACCAGACGCTGAGGTCGGGAGACAAAGGTTTTTTCTAAAAAATCTATTCGTTTCATAGCTGTATCTCGTAACAGCGTGCGTGGTTTCAGAACTGTTTTTATGGGAGGTGTATAGAGGACACGTGTTGCACTAAAAAAGGACTTTGGAGCTTAAAATTGGCATCAATTTGTTCACAATAAAGGCTTTTTCCTTTTTCTGTTTCATTGTTCCAAGCCTAATTAACCGTTTGCAGCAATTGATTTTGCCACACACCTGAAGACATTTTGGAATGCAAACCGAATATAAAAAAAATAATATGTAATATGTATTTAAGAAATAAAATGATTTATAAGAGGACTTGGGGGATGCGAAATGTTTTATTCTAAATGGTTCCATTAGCAGAAAGGGATAGTGTTCCGAAGGAATTAAAAAACTACTTCAAAGATGAATATTTGTATCATTCAACTGACCCAGATCGTTCTCCCACGACGTGAACTTAGATCACGATCAATAAAACTCCCTTTGTCATGTGAAGGTGAGATTTACATCTATCGGAAAAGATTGGCTCCTCGTCTTTTTTTGCCCATTAATTGTCAGCGAATGTTTAGCAGCGTGTGGTGTACGTAACGATGATCTGCAAGTATGTGTGTTGAATTTTGCGTTGAATGTTTTACATGTAGGCTCGCGTATCGGCGATGTAACGGTTCAATTAATCTTAAAATCGTTCGTCTCCAACCATGAAATTTTTACTGTTTTTTTTTTTTTTTTTTTTTTTTTTTTTTTTTTATTTAAAATGCAGTAATCACATAGGGTTGGACTCCAAGGTATAAAAAAGAACTACTTGATTTTGCAAAAAAACATTAGAATGAATAATGGCATCGGTAAACCGTAAATTACCAATACATACAAAACACTTAAATCGCCTCCATAATGGAAATTGTACTGATTGTATAGCATTAATAAACCATCCAAAACGGGCTGGCTGTCTAAGGTTTGTAGACAGCACATCTATTTATGAAACGTGTGCACTCAACAGAAATCCGTTTCTACCAAGCGTAGGAGAACTGATTCAGTGCTGGATCAGACAAAGTCTAACCTAGCTTAAAATAAAAATAGAAATAAAAATAAATAAATAAATAAATAAATAAATAAATAAATAAAACAATATCCATACGGTTACATTTGGAAGAGAATTAAGCGCAGTGAGAGCTTTGGCACTTTGAAAGAAAATGTTAAAGAGTATATATATATATATATATATATATATATATATATATATATATATATATATATATATATATATATATATATATATAAATTTTACAGTCACTAATATCCCTGGTGATAAAACGAGCGAAATAAGGTAAATATTTTTCTATATATAAATACATAGAGAATCATAAGTAAGACTATAGTTAATTCGTAAAATGTATTTTGAGAAAAGTACCATCATACTGGAATGTACCATTTATTACTAAAGCAATATTAACAAAGTCATGCCGTGTGTAAAATTACCGACACAATATCATGCCCGCACGAAAACGCAGTAGATGCTCCAGCGCAGTAGACTACTGTACTGCAATCATACTGCAAATATGCCTCAAATCTGCTTCGCATTGGGAGCTAATTAGCATATTTGAAACATGCTTCTATCATGCTGCTAATCTACTGCATTAATGCTCCTCCTCTGTACAACCCTATGTAATTTTTGAAGTAGAATTGCAGTAGGGTATACTGCATTTCTACTGCAAATATGCTCCACACCACTACTGCGTTAATGCTTCTTTGCTACTTCGATACTACTGCATTTTCGTGCGGGCACCCACAGGAGAGTTTTTGTTGAAATTGAGAAGCTTCGAATGATTTGCTCTCTTTACACCAGGCCCCTTGCAACACTTTAAAATATACTTGTTATAACAAGAACATTTTAGAAGGAAACAAGAGTCTATGAGTAAAAAACCCATAACATCAGAAAAACATCTTGGGCTTAACAAAGTGAAACCATGGCGTTTTAAACTTCATGTATATCGCTATGATACTAAAATAGATACTTAAATCAAAATTGTGCTATTGCAATATACGAGCTCCGGAAGAAGTAAAGTATTAGATGCATAAAACGTGAGAGATACATATCAAGATATTTCAATCAGAAGGGTATGTATGCATGAAAACGAAAATTGTCTTCATTTCGTCAAATATCAATATATTTTTCCTTCTCCGTTTATATAATAGATTTGCATTAAAATATATCAAGATGAATTTGCTAACTAGATATCATGCAGCAGTGTTTAGGGGGCAAAAAACTATAATATCGTTTTCCAAAATATCTCCCTAACCTAAACAGCTAACAACGCCATTTTAACGCCCGTCTCATTTATCACAACGAAAAGTTCTCCAGTGTACTAGAAACTCGTCTTACACTGTCTCCAAGCAGTTGTCCTCATAATAGTCATATCCAGTGTCTGCCTGCAAGTCGCCAGACTGGGCAGTACTGGGCAGAAGTTCACAGACACATTGGTCGTTTCCAGCACAGAGAACGTTTATGGCCACACACTTCCAGTTTTGCAAACAGGAGATGCTGCATTCGGTTCGGCTACCGACATTCAGCGTGGACATGGGCACGAGGGTAGCGCGCGCACCTGCTGCTACCCGTTTGAATGTAGTTGATGTCGTAACACCTATACAAAAAAAACATTAATTAACTACAAGACTTAAAAACTTATAACAAAGACGTGCTAGAACCTGATTGACCGGTCATTTCAACGCTGAATTAATCAGCAAAGATGTAAGAATTGTAGATATTTTTATTCACGCCCTTCAAAACTAATAGTAATATTTTCATGTACGAAATGTGGTATATCGCAGCTTGAGGTCCGCCTGTGAATGCGATTTTGAGAAACTATAAACTCACCATGAACTTCCACTTCACAAAGTTGCAATGGATCATCGTCACTCATTTAATGATCAAGACATATCGTCCTCTCAGTGGTGACCCACAGGACAGAGACATGTTCCCCACAGGTGCCACCCCCGGGTAACTGGCGCAGAGTTTGTACTGGGTGAATGATGAATTATCCACATAAGTGGTTCCGACCCTCACTTCGAAATTATTCAAACGGTCAGCTGAAAATAAAAGTAGTAAATGGTAAAATATGAGATTACACTTATACAGGGGGTATCATACTTTTCTTGGATGTCATGTACGGTGAAGTAGGCACGTGGATGAATAAATTGTCACAATTATTTGAAGAAATACATGTATATAGTTACACAATATCATCTTCGTTGCAGATATATCATTTTTTAGCAGATCGAACTTAACATTCCTATACTTACGACAATAAAAACAGCAGCGACATATCTTTAATAAATTAGGATCACTGTAAATGCAAAATATATGAAGAACCAAAAATCTTACAACAGCAGTCGCCACGGTTTGTTATAATTACACCAGCCACCCTCTCCGTGCGTAGTAAGTCTACCAGCCACCATTGACCCTGACCCAAATCAGTATGGGTACAACTCAAATGGTACATGGAGTCGTCATAGTTACCATCCACAGCAAGACTGGCAGCTAGGCGCACCAACTCTAGGATAATCGTAGAACTTTGGTAGGCGGGTTTGCCTTTGGCCAAATTCTGCGTGCAACCTCTGCATAGTGCCCCATCTGCCGGGGAGAGATAACAACAAAACCAATTACTATTATTATTATTATTATTATTATTATTATTATTATTATTATTATGTGCAAGTATAAAGTAAATATAACATTAAATATTAAATATACTTTTCATCCGTAATAGGGTTGAATTGGCATTTATACAACAATTTTGAAAATTAGAAAAACTATCTAACCACAAGGATGAATAAGTTTATGATATTGTTCGATGCTATATACCATATTATTGCCAAAATACATATTTTTCAGCTCTATGACAAATCAGTAATAAAAATTACTTTTTGCTAATTGCCTATTCTTCTAAACTTACCCAAAAACATCACAGTTACTCCGACAAAAAGGAGCCTTAGGATCACCATGCTATAGTCACACACCTAGTTATCTCAGCAACTGCCGATGGCAGACAAATCAAGAAAATATCCCGTTGTTGTCCCGGATGGTGAACTAATTAGTGTGGAGTGAATGCAGTAAAGGGGTAAAGTTCAACTGATGCTTGAATATTCAAAAGCGCACCAATATAAATAACATTTATTAGTTGCCTAATTGATGCATATTGAAATATAACCGGGTCTTTTCTAAGTGTAAGCTGCATGAATTCGAACCTTATCAAAATTTCATCTTATTAAATTAGTGTAACCTATTTTCGTCCTTTTGATGCCAAATGAGAATTATTGTTTATGTGTTTAATTAGTTTTGACAACACACATTTTCATCATTCATGCAGCTTATTCGACTCTCTCTCTCTCTCTTTCTCTCTCTCTCAGGCGAGAAATCACAATCAATAAATATGGGTGATGTTATTTATAAACATGGTTCCTTGGGTCGTAGTTTTTGGTCTCAGGCTCATCTGTGTGTTTTTTTATATCAATAAAGTGAATTCCATAAATGAGTGATATTTTAACCATGCGTCTTTTCACGTTTGCATAATACGTCTGAAAATTGTAAGAATGATTTTGTGTAGTGTCACACCTACAAGTAATTCGTTAAAAAACATCGGCTGATGGATTTGATAAATCAACACGGTATTTTCATAGGAAACTACGTTGTAGTGTTGTATACCTTAATAAATACCTGTAGTATTTAAATGGAAGGTGGTTGTCTTTGGACTACCTTTATGTCGCTATGTTTGTAAACCATCCTCACATATTATGTTTCTTTTTTTACTAGTGTCCTTGTTGCCTTCAAAACTTTAATTACCTTGCACTCACACTGTGTTTTGCTGCATATTCACCAAAGAGCTACAACAAGATGTATATGAGCTAGTTCTTTTCAACTGTTGCAGAAAAAAAGGCATTGAGGTAGCATTTACATCTGAAATCAAAAACATTTTTCAGTGCGAACGCTATACCGGTACAAGACATATGAGGGAACTGAATATAGATGACTGACGGGAGCGAACAGGAATTACAGATCGAAAATGGATTGTAAACAGTTAGATGTATACATTTAGAGAAGAGAAAAATGCCTTCACAGTGTTGTTTGAACTCCTAAAATGTTTTGTGATTTAAAATCATAATTGCCGAGAAATACTTGGGTAGCATATAGTTATGATTGGATAAGCCATAACAATATACTACATGCAATTTGCTGCAATTGTAGGATTGAAGATTAACACCTCTTTTACCACCCACTATATCATAAAAAACTTTATCTTAACAGCGTCTCTATGTGGATTATTTCAGATACGTCTGACTTAAACAGTATTTTGTCTTTTTAATGGCATATTTGACATATATTGGTAGTCCTATGGGTTTTAGTTAAAAAACATGGCTAAGAAGATTCATGATAAAATATTTGAAATGGAATATATTACAAATGTAAGGTGGACTGCTATTGGTGAAAAATGAAATAGAATTTATACGCTTCTGTCGCCTTATTTAGGTGAAAAGATACTGATGGTTAAAAAATTTGTACCACAGAACAACAACAAAGTTCCTCCAGTTCCTCCATGGTGGAGTAACGGCAAAGAAGTGCCAATGTTCCCATCCCGTTACTCTGTCTAAAGTACAATGTATATGTATGAATATTGCATTACTTATTTATTTATTTATTTATTTATTTATTTATTTTATAATTTTTTGGCTTCATTAAACTTATTCTGACCCAGCACTTAATAACCTATCTTGCCCTTTGTAGAAACGGATTTCTGTTGAGTACACACGTTTCATAAATAGATGTTCTATCAACAAATTTCAGACAGCTAGCTCGTTTTGGTTGGATTATTAATGTTATGCAATCTATACGATTTCCATCATGTGGGCCATTTTAGTGTTACTAGTCTATACAGTGCATTGGTAATTTGCGGTGTACTGATGCCATTATCCATTCTATTGTTACCAGTACTTCTATTATATGGGTATCAGAGGTTCTTTAAATTTGCTGGGGCATGGTGCTAATACGTCTCGAGATCTTAAGGACGTTATGGATGGATGGGGTCATTTCTATTTCTTTGTATATTTTCAAGGGAATCTCAATCAATTCTGAAACGCAGGTTCCAAATTTCAATTTATTTAGGAATTCCCAAGTTCAGGTATGTGTTGAACTTTAGATTTGCACTTTAGATTTGTATTGTTGAGTATGAAAACGACATGTTGTTCGGAAACAAAAAAAAAGAAGTTCCTTCTGTTCAACCCTGCGGTCTGTTTTGATTTCGTCATGCATGCACTCTTTTTTTTTTTCATTTATGTGTGGTGTCAATGCATGTTTTGGGTCAATGTGGACCCCTGTTCTCAGGCACTGTAATATTACATTTTATTTTATTGTTATCTATCTGATAAATTTTGGAAGGTACCTATTATTATTATTATTATTGAATTTCAAAGGTGAGCATATAATTCCTAGGCGAATTGGCACCTTCATTTATACTGTATCAATATCTAACCCTCTTGAGAAAAAAGATGTTTAAAAAAAACCTACCCATGGTCCATTTTTATACGGTGTAGATAGAGATGCAGACTGCAATCTCGCCGCTTTAAACTGACTTTGAAAGCAGTATGTCCCAGACAGGTGAAAACAATAACATGATGAATACCCTAGATATATACAGCTGGGCCTCTAAGTCCAGGTAGAAGACTACACCCAGTGAGAAATAAAATAAATAATGGCATCAGTAAACCACAAATTATCAATGCACTTATTTCCCCCTTAATGGAAATCGTTTTCATTGTATAGCATGAATAAATCAACCAAAACGTGCTGGCTGTCCAAAATTTGTAGATAGCACATCTATATATGAAGTGTGTGTATACAACCGTTTGTACCAAGGGCAGAAGAAATTAATCAGTGCTGGGTCAGACAAAGGCTGGCGAAGCCAAAAACAATATAATAAAATAAATAAATAAATAAACAATGCAATGTCCAATTTTTGTTGCTCCTCCACCATGGTACTACTGAACCAGATGCTTGCAACAAATGTCAAAATGTTCTCAATCATGCATCTATAAATGTTAGTAAAGAAGGTTTTATTGTCTTATTTCTAAGTGATCTTAAAATCGTTGCTTTACTTACTCTCTCCTTTCCGAGTAAGTTCACTGCTTATATGGATTTCCATAACAAAAAAAATCTCACTCTCTTAACGACAGCTTTCTTTTCAATAAGCAGTGTTTTTACATTTTCTTTCTGCCTGAATTAAATCAATTGTCATCCCTTTGGTTTTATAACATTGAGCATGAGATAATTACTCTTGTCCCACACGAAAACAGTTTCAACAGACTTTTACATGTGCGCTATCATTTCTAACCAGACAAGGGGTGGTATCACGTGCGAAGTTCATTGAAAATGTCTATTACGATAGTGTAAACGTAGGAAATATAGACAGATTTTAAGAACACTTCCTTCAGGTACACCCGCATTCAAAACCACCGCATGTGCGTGTGCCAATTTTAACTGTCAGCTTACTTTCTCAAAGGAAAGTAAAGCACGGTCAGGAAAGCAGTTATAAATCATCTTAAAGCTGTAAGTATTATTTGTGGCACCAAAATGTGAAAAGCAGAACTATAGTCTATGAATAAAAACCTAGCATACTTCTTTTCAGTGTGCCATCAAAGTAATCGCGTTCTCGCAATTCCTGTTTCGATATAAATATCAGCTTCAATTAAATTGAATTTAAATTGAATTTAAATTCAAATGTATATTTAGTTAAAAGAAAAAAATAGAGAGTGCCCATTTCTAAAACCACGAATACTCCTGGTGATAAAGCGAGTGAAAAAAATATTTTGTCATATAAATACACAGAGAATAACAAATAGGTAAAACTATGGTCAATTTGTAAAATGTATTTTGAGAAATTGTTAATGACAAATTACCAATATACTGGGATATTCCATTTATTACTAAAGCAATATTGACAAAGTCATGTCGTGTGTAAAATTACAGACACAATATCACCTACAGGAGAGTTTTTTGTTGAATTTGAAAAATTTCGAGTGATGGGCTCTCTTTGTAGACCAGACCCATTGCAACACTTTAAAAAATATACTTGTTATAACAAGATCATTACTGATGGAAACACGATCGAGTGTCTGAATAAACAATCCATTACATCACAAAAACATGTTGGGCTTAACAAAGAGAAACCATGACTTTTTAAAATATATCGCTAAAATTGATAATTATATTAAAATTGTGCATATTGCAATAACATATCAGTTCCGGAAGCATTAAAGAATTAGATGCATAAAACGTGAGAGATACATACAAGGATATTTTAGCCAGATGCATGATGATGCATGAAAACGAAAATATTCCTCGTTTCGTCAATCATTTAAGGGAAATCTGTATTTTTTTTTATTATTTTTCCTTCTCCATTTATAGAATTGATTCACATAAAAAATGCATCAGGGTGAATTTGCTAACTAGATCTCATGCGGCAGCGTTTTTTTGGGGGTTGAAAAACTATAATATCGTTTTCCAAAAGTTCTCCATCATCTGAAAAGCTAGCAACGCAAATTGTAACGCCTGTCTCATTAATCACAACGGGAAATTTTCCAATAAGGTGCCAGGAAATTATTTTGAAATGCAATTGTCTTATATCAACAAAGAGGTAATGCATTTGCTTGAGGCATCATCGCAAGTAGCTCGTATCTCCTCCCTAAAATCAATGCAAGAACCAGACTGTGTTTTGCTTCCTAGCCATGCCAATTTTTATGATAATGCAATCCTAAGTTATGCAGTTACGTAGGAAAATGGCCCCTTTCTTGCACCAATTTACGAAGAAGCGGAAGAATTATTGATGGTCGTTTGACTTAATTATCCCTCTTGCAATCATGTCTACTTCACACTAGTTTAAGTCAGTAATGTGAGCTAATAGCATTTGCATATTTCTAAAACAACGTGAATGATGTTGAGTTGTTTACAACACTTCCCCCGCATAGCATATCATCAGACCATATATATTCAATTTAAAAACAACAATATCATTTCACTGACTCGCAATGGTAGAAAAAAAAAGATATGTGTTACGAAGCTATGAATGCTTCGCTGGAATGTTTTTTTAAAGTGATATATCCAAATTAATTAGACTGTCTCGTCCTACAATGTACCCAAGCATTTGCCTTCATAATATTGGTATCCAGTGTGTGCCTCCAAGTCTCTGGATTGGGCAGTGTTGGGCAGTAGTTCACAGACACATTGGCGGTTTCCGGTACAGAGAACGTTAATGGCCACACACTTCCAGTGTTTCATACAGGAGAGGCTACATTCGATGTGGCTGCGGACATTTAGCTTGGATATGGTTACAAGTGATGCGCGAGCACCTGCTGCTACCCGCTGGAACGTGGTTGATCTTGCAATACCTACATAAAAAAATAAACCACTGGACTAACAAAACTTGAAACAAAGACACGCCAGTAGGTGATTAACCGATTATTTCAACGTTGAATTAATCATAAAATGTGTAAGGTTTATAGATACATGTATTTGTAAACACACCCCTTAAAACTCATATTTATATGCAAATGGAATACTGTAAACTCACCATGAACCTCCACCTCACAAAGCTGCAAGTAGCTATCGTCACTACCAACTTTAATGATCAAGACATATCGTCCTCTCAGTGGCGACCCACACGACAGACACGTGTTCCCCACAGGTGCCACCCCCGGGTAACTGGCGCAGAGTTTGTACTGGGTGAATGATGAATTATCCACATAAGTGGTTCCGACCCTCACTTCGAAATTATTCAAACGTTCAGCTGAAAATAAAAAGTGGCTAATGGTTAAATTAAATGATACACATGTAACGGGAATTTAAACAGTAGATTATCTATAAAAAAACGCACCTGGTAGATACGGGGATACATGTAGATTACTCCATCATTAGAGAAATGTACACCATATCTCGTCTTATTTCCACATGCATAACCTTAATACAAAAGGTACGATAGCAATTACTTAGTGACTGACCACAACTTATATCAACGGCATATATATATATATATATTTAGATTACCCCTGTTTATGTAAAAAAGAACTTACAAGATCCTTCGCCACGGTTTGTTATGATAACAGCTGTCACCCTCTCTGTGGTTTCTAAGTCTACCAGCCACCATTGACCCCGCCCAAGATCAGTATGGCTACAACTCGCGAAATACATGACGTCGTTATAGTTACCATCCACAGCATTACTGGCAGGGTACTTACTATACAAGGTGGAACTTTGGTAGGCGGGTTTTCCTTTGGCCAAACTCTGCGTGCAGGCTCTGCATAGTGTCCCATCTGCCGAGGAAAGATACCAACAACATCAATAATAATAATAATAATTATTATTATTATTATTATTATTATTATTATTATTATGTGCAAGTGTATACTAAATATAACAATAAATGTTTAATATACTTTTCATCCTTAATCGGATTGAAAGGGGATTTATACAACAATTTTGAAAATTAGAAACAACTTTCTTACCACATTGATGAAAAATTTTATGATATTTTTTTATGCTATATACCGTATTATTGACAAAGTACATATTTTTAAGCTCTATGACAAATCAAAAATAAAACACTACTTTTCTCCAAGTGCGTTTTCTGCTAAACCTACCCAAAAATATCACAGTTACTCCGACAAAAAGGAGCCTTGGGACCAACATGCTCTAGTCGCACAACTCGATATCCCAGCAGCTGCCGATGGCAGACAAATCAAGAAAACATTCCGTTGTTGTCTCGGATGGTGATCTGATAAGAGCGGAGTGATTGCAAAGAAAAAGAAGTTCAACTGATGCTTGAATGTTCAAGAGCGCGCTAATATAAATGACATTCATTAGTTACCTAAATGATGGATAGTCAAATATAACTGGGTGTTTTCTAAGTGTATGCTGCATGAAATTGAACCTTATCAAATTTTCATCTCATCATTTAATTGTAACGTCTTTTCGTCTTCTCGATGCTGAATGTCAATTATAATGAAATTGTTTATGTATTTTTGACTCCACACATTTACATCAGGTGAGCTATCACGATGGGTGATGTTGTTTATAAACGTGGTTCCTCGAGTATTGATTTTCGTCTCAGGTTCATGTGTTGTTTTTTTTTAATATCAATAAAGTGAATCCCAAAAATGAGTGGTATTTCAATCGTGCGACCTTTCTCATAGTCTTTCAGGTTTTCATGACACGTTTTCAAATTGTACTGATGGTTTGTCTAGAGTCATAAATCGTTAAAAAAATTATATACATCAACACGTTATTTTCATAGGAGACTACATATGTACAGGTAGTATATACCTTACTAAATACCTGTAGTAATTAAATGGAAAGTGCATGGCTTTAGATTATCTTAATATCGCTATGTTTGTAACCCGTCTTTAAGTCTTAAAGTGTTGTGTTATAAGCAGCTTCTTCTTTTTTCTAGTTTCCTTGTTGCTTTTAATACTTAGAATTTAAGTCTCTTCGCACTCATATTGTGTTTTGCTGCCTTATTTAACTGAGCAGAAACTGACGGTTATAGAATCTGTACCATGGAACATTTAATTATGATATTTAATTTTGTCTAATGATAAAATATTGACACATAAGAAAATAATTATCATATGAAGGTGGTGAGAACGAGGCATCAATTATATACAGGTAAAAGCGTTCCAGGGTGTACTAGCTCTTCTACCCGGACCTAGAGACCCATAAATGAAAAAAAAAAGTGTGACGAAGGTTTGATCAGACCGCAGGTTTGATCAGAAGGAGTCACTTTCATTCACAGAAACACGTTGTATAAACCCAAAGTTTAACACATACCTCAATTTTGAATTTTTAATAAATTGAAATTTGAAACCTTCGGCTAAGAATAGTTTGAGATTCACTTGAAAAGGGACAGAGAAGAAATAGAAATGACCCATCCAACGATAATGTCCTAAAGATCTCGAGAGGTATTAGCACCATGCCCCTGCCAATTTCAGGAACCTCTGCTACTCATATAAGTGAAGTACTTGTAACGAAAGAATAAACAATGGCGTCAGTAAACCGCACATTACCAATGCACTGTAACACTTAATTGCCAACTTAATGGAAATCGCATTGATTGTATAACATTAATAAACCATTCAAAAAGTGCTAGCTGCCTAAAATTTGTAGACAGCACATCCATTTATGAAACGTGTGTACTCAACAGAAATCCGCAACAAGGGCAGGATAGGTTATTCAGTGCTGGATCAGACAAAGTTTAGCCTAGCCCAAAAAGATATAATAATATTAAGAAATTGATAAAGAAGCAATACCCATACAAATACATTAGACAGATTAGCTAGATAAGACTATTTGGCACTTTTTTCCGTTCCACTGTACCACATACTATATAGATGGTACTACTGTACCAGATACAAGTACTAGTACCAAATGCCCATTTGCTCGTTAGTTAAGAAGATTTTGTTGTTTTACTTTGAAGTGATCTTGAAAGCGCTGCTTTATTAGCGCTCTCTTCGTTGCTGCCTTTCCGCGTAAGTTCACTGCTTTTATGGATCGATTCCCATGAACAAAATCTCTTAATTGCGACTTTCTTCTTAATAAGCAGTGTTTACACATTTTGTTTCTTTCTGAACTAAACCAAATATCATCTCCTTGGTTTTTATAACATTGAGAATGAGATCATTACTCTTGCCCCACCCGAAAACAGATTCAACAGACTTTAATATGCGCGCTCGTCGTAGTTATCATTTCTAACCAGACAAGGGTGGTATCATTTGCTAAGTTCAATAAAAATGTTTTGTCTACTACGCCAGTGAAACCGCATGAAAAACAAATATAGACAGGTTTTAAGAACACTTCCTTCAGGTGCACCCGCATTTAAAACCAGAGCGTGAGAAAAAAGGCCAACTTTAACATTTATTACTAAAGCAATATTGACAAAGTCATGTCATGTGTAAATTTGCAGACACAATATCACCCATAGTAGAGTTTTTAAAGAAATTGACAAGCTTTTAATGAATTGCTCTCTAGTAGACCACACCCACTGCAAAATTAAAAAAATACTTGGTATGACGAGGTCATTATTGACAGAAGCACGAGCCTAAAAATAAACAATAGATTTCATCAGAAAAACATGCTGGGCTTAACAAAGGGAAACAATTGCGTTTTAAACTATATCGCTATGGTACTAAAATGAATAATTACATAAAAATTGTGCATATCAGTTCCGAAAGCAGTCAAGTATATGGTGTATAAAACGTAAGAGATACATGGAGAGATATTTTAGTCAGAAGCATATGGATGCATGAAAACGAAAATAGTCTTCATTTTGTCAAATATTTAAGGGAGGTCACTTCTCTTCGATTGTTTTTTTTTTCTTCTTCGTTTGTGTAATAGATTCGCATAAAAATATATATATAAGGGTGAATTTGCTAACTAAAGCTCATGCAGCAGCGTTTTGGGGGGTGAAAATTATAATATCGTTTACTAAAATATCTCCCTCATCTAAACAGCTAAGAAGCTGAAGGCCGTTTTAACGCCTGTTTAATTAATCACAACGAAAAGTTCTCCAGTGTACTAGAAACTCGTCCTACACTGCCCCCAAGCAATTGTCCTCATAATAGTCATATCCAATGTCTGCCTGCAAGTCACCGGACTGGGCAGTACTGGGCAAAAGTTCACAGACACAGTGGTCATTTCCAGCACAGAGAACGTTTATGGCCTCACACTTCCAGTTTTGCAAACAGGAGATGCTGCATTCGGTGCGGCTACCGACATTCAGCGTGGCTATGGGCACGAGGGTTGCGCGCGCACCTGCTGCTACCTGACGAAACCTGGTTGAACTTTTAATACCTACAAAAAAATTAACTACGGGACTTGAAAAAAAAATTAAGACGTGCTAGCACCTGACTGATCGGTTAGTTCAAAGTTGAATTAATCATCAAATCTGTAATAATTATAGATATTTTTATTCATGCACTTCAAAACTAATAGTAATATATACATGTACGCAATGTGGGAATATCGTAGCTTAAGGCCCACCTGTAATAGCGATTTTGAGAAACTATAAACTTACCATGAAATTCCACTTCACAAAGCTGCAATGGATCATCGTCACTACCAACTTTAATAATCAAGACATATCGTCCTCTCAGTGGTGACCCACAGGACAGAGACGTGTTCCCCACAGGTGCCACCCCAGGGTAACTGGCGCAGAGTTTGTACTGGGTGAATGATGAATTATCCACGAAAGAGGTTCCAACTCTCACTTCGAAATTATTCAGACGGTCAGCTGGAAAAATTATCAGAATATTCAATTTGATATATTTTGCAAAAAAAAAAAACGTACGTGGCACAGTCCATAAAGTATCACTCTGCAAGAAAATTATCACACATTGCTTTGTATATTTTGCACATGTATAATCTGAAATGGATCATAGCTAACTGAAAATAAAAGTAGCAAATGGTAAAATATGAGATTACACTTATATCATACTTTTCTTGGATGTACGGAGTAGGTAGACACGTGGATGAATAAATTGTCACAATTATTTGAAGAAATTAATACTTGTATATAGTTACACAATAACCTCTTCGTTGCAGATATATCATTTTATCAGATCGAACTTAACATTTCAATACTTACAGCAATAAAAACGACAGCGACATATCTTTAATAAATTAGGACTAAATACAAAATATATAAAGAACCAAAAATCTTACAACAGCAGTCGCCACGGTTTGTTATAATTACACCAGCCACCCTCTCCGTGCTTAGTAAGTCTACCAGCCACCATTGACCCTGACCCCATTGTGTATGGATACAACTCCCATGTATGTGGACGTCGTCATAGTTACCATCGACAGCAAGGCCGGCAGGGTACTGATGTAGGTGAATAGAACTTTGGTAGGCGGGTTTTCCTTTCGCCAAATTCTTCGTGCAACCTCTGCATGGTGTCCCAACTGCCGGGGAAATATAACAACAACATCAATTATTATTATTATTATTATTATTATTATTATTATTATTATTATTATTATTATGTGCAAGTATGAATTAAATACAACAATAAATATCAGGGGCGGATCCAGAGATATTTTCTGACAGTCTTCCAAATTATCTTTGTTGACCCATCCACCATTTTTGACCGTCTTCCGACAGAAAAAATTAGATACCCGTCAATGTAAACTTGAAAATCTGACCGTCTTCCGGAGGACCCAGAAGACCACCTAAATCCGCCCCTGAATATTACATATCCTTTTCATCCTAAGTAGGATTGAAAGGGCATTACAGAACAATTTTAAATTCAGAAAGAAATATCCATAACCGCACGGATGAAAAATGTTCAAAATACATTTTTTTCAGCTCTATTAAAAATCAATGAGAAAACACCACGTTTGCCTAACGATTGCAGACAAATCAAGAAAATATCCCGTTGTTGCCCTGGATGGTGAACTAATACGTGTGGGGTGAATGCAAAGAAGAAGCGATCAACTGATGCTTGAATGTTCAAAAGCGCGCTAATATAAATGACACTCATTAGTTACCTAGGTGTTTTCTAAGTGTATGCTGCATGAAAGCGAACCTTATCAAAATTTGATCTCATACTATTATTGTAACATCTTTTCGTCCTTTTGATGCTGTATATTAATAATAATATATGTGTTTGATTTTTGGACTTTACACATTTTCACCCTCCATGCATCTGTTCAGACTCGTTCTCACTCTCGTAAGCAATCACAATATTATTATAAACTTGGTTCCTCGTGTATTGATTACTTCCTGGCGTATTTTTGTCTTCTGGTCATGTTTTATTTAATATTAGTGACGTGGACTTCCAAAATGAGTGATATTTTAATCGTGCGTCTTTAAACATAGCCACTCGAGCGCTTATGACACGTTTGCAAATTGCACATTTTTTTTACCGGTAACTGTTTAACAATATAATAAACTGGTTTTCCAGTTGGTAGTGTTGTTCGAGAGACCAAATGATCGGATGTCACAGCCACAGTAAACACGGTGGGGACGACAGACCCAAGAAATTTTACCATGTCGAGCTACTTTAGATAGACATATGAAAGGTTATCACAGTTATTTATGATGGTATCTGACTAGATCCATTCCCACATCCACATATGGCCGTCTCAAGCAGTATAGGTGTTCTGCTATTTACATTCCGTAGAAAGTTGCCTCGGCTTCAAATGTCCACCACCATGCCCAAATTGTTTACATTAATTTAACAATTTCATCAGCTCGTACACACCTTATACAAAAAAATCCCTGTTTAAATAAATAGTGAAATACGTTTATTTTTGCCCTCCAATATTTCAGTGGCCATCGCGTCGCTTTTATTTGGGATTGCTCCGCTAATTCACACGTCAGGTAGAGGTGAAAATCAAGCCTATTTCCTTTGTACTCGGAATTTTTTTTAAGTATAACTGAAATTTCTTTGTAAATTACCTATCCTCACACCCCATAATTTTTTTTTTCTAAATGAAAAAAAAAAAAAAAAAACACAAAGTAGTCGTCTAAGAAAACCTTCAAGCCTTTCATAATCCCAACCTAATAATCTAAATAATTTGATATACACATATATGTACTATCACGTCTCTTATTAATTGGATTAGATAGCGAGTTCGCTATTTAAATGTTAACCGAGGAGGTCTGCCTGTAAAAGCTATTATGACAAGCAGTCCCCAGGTAGTTAACTCCACGGCGGCTTAAATGATCGCTTTTTCTGTTCATTTTTCCATCACTACAAAGTGTTCGGGATAATACTCACACAAAGACCCGACGTGGTTTTATTCACTAGTATTTCCTCCTCAATGTTTACTGCAGTTGCTAACCTCAATTAACGAAATTAAGGAAGCAATTATGTGATGGTATATTTTTATGAAAAGAGTCAACAGATACATTTCTCTAAGCGTTTAAAAGTGGGGATATAGCGTTCTAAAGACAGGGAAGAGAGGAAAGTCTGATAGATCGGGAGAGGGAGAGGGAGATATGTCTTCAAATCGGCAGACTTCCGACGTCTCTTTCCATAGCCTTTGAATTTTTAATAAATGTGCTATAATTTTTGTTAAAAAATCGTTTTTGAGTTATCCGTATCTTTTATTATCATACAATTATTGATGTTACGTTATATGAGGTAATGCTAAGGTTTCGGGCACAGTGTGTTTTCCGTCAACACAAGAATAGAAAAAAATCAATATCAAGAATCAATTACCAGACGAAAACATCGCATTTTAAGCGAAGCGCAAACCACGTCATTATGGAATAGATTCACAAAAAGCAATAACTGCGTGAATATTAAGTATGAAAAATAAATAAAAACCAAATTGTAGCAAATTCCATGCAAAATTAGATAAACAGGGTGAAGAAAAGAGTGACTGACTGAAAAGTATTAATAGTACACATACATTTTACGTAATGTCCTGCCAACCTGTGCAATGGCTCCTTGTTCGTACCAAGAAATGCGTTTTAGAAATACGAGTTAAATATCCCAAAAAGTCAAGTTATTTTCGACGTGCACGATCCATTTTGGACAACAGTGTATGTATGATGTATGAAAAAAATGATTTCAAATAGAAGATATGACAAAAATATTTTTAAATTATCGGACTAATTACCATTAAAAATCCTCGAAAATGAAGTTGGGTTTTACACTGACTTAAAACGTGCATTCACACAACACATAAACAACATAGTGCAACGCACATCTATCATATCGCGGAATTGATTGGAAGGGGGTTTCCTGCTCCTATAAACAAGCCCGCTTTTCACTCTCCAAAGCAATACATGGTACAAATGCAGAGTTCCACACATTGTTAAAGTTTGATATTTTTAGTTAATTGAAAAAACAATTTGGAACCCCGAGGTTCAGAAATGATAAGGATTTCCTTGTAAATGTACGGAGAAGAGATAGAAATGATAACATCCATCGATTAGTTCTTTTAAAAATGGAGGTACATGTATTAGTAAATAGCAGTATGCCTCCTCCGGTTTCAGGAACTTCTCAATCTCATACATGTGAAGTTATAGTAATGATAGAATGAGAATTGGTCTCAGTGAACTGTAAATAACCACATTACATCTTATATTACACATTTAACTTTAATTTACACCTTAATTGCCTCCATAAAAAAAGCGTATTAGTTTTTGTAGTTATGATAAACGATCCAAAACGTGCCGTCTGGATATACAATTTGTAGGTGGCATATCTCTTTATGAAAGTTCTGCACTCAACAAATCCTTTTGAACCATGTGTAATTGAAAAGGTTCAGACGAAATTTATCGTTGCCAAAAAAGCCAATACATAAAAATGATATGCTCACGTACAATAGTAATAGTCGATTATCTGTCACGTTGTGGCAACATAATCATTTTGTACACAGTCAACAATAAAAAAGCACCAAAGCGTACACATTATACGGAATAAAGAGTTGATACATTGATTTTTTTTTTTCAGTTTCCCACTGCCATACCAGAAACGATGGCCCAAAGCATGAGATAATGCTGTCGAGTTAAATCTACATCAGGGTGAATATGCTAGCTGGAGCTTGTGATATAACAGAATCGTTTTTGGGGTGAAAAATGTTATCGCTTTCAAACAAATCACTTTCACCTAAACAGCTAACGACTTTGTTTTAAGGTGTATTGTATCAAAACGATAAGTCCTCCTATTAGGTGCCAGGAAATTACTTTGAAAAGTGAACTTCTTATTTTCTCAGCTACATGTAACAACGCTGTTATAACGCATATTGAACCACACCGATACATCCTTTAATTAAGTGCAATATTTTGAAAAGTGAACTTCCAAATTATCAGTAAAGATGCCAAACAAAAGTTTTGTTAATTGCAACATCGTAATTAACGGGCTCTTAAAACTAAAAAAATGTTTAACCAAAGCAATGGTTACAGGCGCCAGACTATGATTAACACACTAGTCGTCAAGCACGCGTCTTCATGATAATGTATTACTTAGTTACGGTGTTACACAGGAAAGTGATTGCTTTCTCGTGCCAATTTACGAAGCAGCGAAAATGGCTATTGACGTTTTGTTTTTTTTATTTTTTTTTTTTATTTTTAAGTCAAATTAAAATGATCCCTCTTGAGACCATGTCGTCTTCACACTAGTTTAGGTCAGTCTTGGGAGCGATCACCACCTGCACATTTCTAATACAATATGAATGGTCAGTTTTTACAACACTACCCCAGCGTGGCATATCATCTAATAATATACATGTATATTCAGCTTAGCACATCAATATCATTTAATTGTTTCACAACGATAGGAGATACTTAAAAGGCATGTACGTTACGTAGTCATGAATACTTCTCTGGGGTATTTCTGAAGTGATTTAGCCACATTTATTAGTCTCGTCCTACACTTAACCCAAGCAGATGTCCTCATAATATTCAGAACCAGTGTCTGCCTGCAAGTCGCTGGACTGGGCAGTACTGGGCAGAAGTTCACAGACACATTGGTCATTTCCTGCACAGAGAACGTTTATGGCCGCACACTTCCAGTGTTGCATACAAGAGATGCTGCATTCGGTGAGGCTGCGGACATTCAGCGTGGATATGGGCACAAGGCTTGCACGAGCATCTGCAGCTACCTGCTGGAACGTGGTTGCACTTGAAATACCTATACAAAAACATAAGTAAAATATGGGACCTACAAAACTCATAACAAGGACATGTCAGTAGGTGACTCACCGGTTATTTCAACGTTGAATTAATCAAAAAATGTTAATAGATACACGTAATTTTAGGCACCTATTAAAACTCATATTAATGTACATATAAGTACGCAAAGTGAAATACTGTAAACTCACCATGAACCTCCACCTCACAAAGCTGCAAGTAACTATAGTCACTACCAACTTTAATGATCAAGACATATCGTCCTCTCAATGGTGACCCACAGGACAGAGACGTGGTCCCCACAGGTGCCACCCCCGGGTAACTGGCGCAGAGTTTGTACTGGGTGAATGATGAATTATTCTCATAAGAGGTTCCGACTCTCACTTCGAAATTATTCAAACGGTCAGCTGAAAATAAAAAGTGGCTAATATTTAAATCTAATATTACACATGTAGCGGCAAAGTAAACAGTAGATCAGGGTCCTGTATCTCGAAAGCTTCGCTATGTTGCGCACGTGCGCGAGCATGGCGAGCGTGCGCTGCAATTGCAACCGCCTGCTATCTCGAAGCCTTAGCAAACGCTACGCAATTATAACCTCAAACTCTACTAAAATTCGATTGCCGCAAAAATGTAATTTTTTTCACCATGACGCAAATTAAGAGGTTGTTTTTATTTATAGGAATATCATAATTACAAATACTGATATTTGAAGTATTTGACACTGATAAAATGTCAAAAAACAATTCAATAAGCGAAGCTTGGACTGACACAATTACTGACACATTAGTGAGTAGTGTTCAGTCTCACAATAATAGACATTGAGGAAAGTCACGGTGCGACCGAATGCTTTGTTTCTGCTTTTTCATTTTGTGTAGAAAATGACACTTTTAAATTTATTGTTATTATCAATAGACTATACACAGATAATTAAATTCACCAGAAAATATAAAATAATGTATGAAATGTTTAATTTTGAAATTTTTCTCCATAATAAAACATGACTTTAGCATTTTTCACGTGAATATTTACAGCAATTTTTTTCTATCAGAGGTACCAGTGATTCAATCAATTAAAAGCTTCCATGTTTTTGTTACATGTTTTATTATATGCTATTATGACTAGCAACCCAAACTTGCCACCATGTTTAATTACATGAAAGACACATTAAAATGACAAATTATGCATACGCAGAGGCCATTGCGACTAGTTTGTATCGCCGCAAATAATAGCCTCGAAACTAATGGTGATTTCGCCATTAGCGCACGGCCGGGATTTGCGAAGCTTTCGAGATATGGGATAGCGCACGCTCGCCATACTTGCGAACGCTCGCCACAAGCAAAGCTTTTGAGATACGGGGCCCTGATATAAAAACCGTACGAAGTAGGTAGATACGCGTATACATATAGATAAAATGTCACTATTATTAAAAATACATGTTGCTACACGATATCTCGTCTTATTTTCACATGCATAATCATAATAGGATTGCACTAACCGCCCAAAACTTTGATCTACGGCAATAAAAGCGTGAATTGCGATAATGATACATCTTCAGTATATATAAATATAAACCAAAGGACTTACAGCAGCAGTCGCCACGGTTTGTTATGATAACACCGGCCACTCTCGCCGTGGTTTCTAAGTCCACCAGCCACCATTGACCTTGACCACCATTAGTATTGGAACAACTCCCATGGGACAAGACGTCGTCATAGTTACCATCCACAGCGAGCCTGGCATCGCATGTGTGGTAGGTGGAACTTTGGTTGGCGGGTTTGCCTTTTGCCAAATTGCAACCTCTGCATAGTGTCCCATCTGAAAGATACCAATGTCATCAGTTATTATTATCATGGTTATTATTATAAATATAACAATAAATATTAAATATCTTTTTCATCCTAAATCGGATTGAAAGGACATTACAGAACAATTTTAATTTCAGAAACAAATATCTTACCACATGGATGAATAATGTCCCAAAAACATATTTTCAGCTCTATGAAAAATCAATTATAAAACATCGCTTTTGTCTAGTGCATTTGTCTAGTGCCTCTGCAAAACTTACCCAAATATATGACAGTAACTCCGAGAAAAAGCAGTCTTAGGACCACCATGCTATAGTCACACACCTCGTTATCCAGCAGCTGCAGATTGCAGACAAATCAAGAAAATGTCCCGTTGTTGTCTCGGATGGTGATCTGATAAAAGTGGAGTGATTGCAAAGAAGATGAAAAGTTCAATTGATGCTGTAATATTCAAAATAGCACTAATATAAATGTCATTCATTAGTTACCTAAATGATGGATAGGAAATGTAATCGGGTGTTTTCTAATTGTATACTGCATAAAATCGAACCTTATCAAAATTTCATCTCATCCTATTATTGTAACATCTTTTCGTCCTTTTGATGCTGCATATCAATTATAATATATGTTTTTTTTTTTTTTTTTTTTTTTTTTTTTTTTTTTTTTTTTGACTTCACACATTTTCACCCTCCATGCATCTGTTCAGACTCGTTCTCACTCTCGTGAGCAATCACAATATTATTATAAACTTGGTTCCTCGTGTATTGATTACTTCCTGGCGTATTTTTGTCTCCTGATCATGTTTTATATAATATTAGTGATGTGAACATCAAAATGAGTGATATTTTAATCGTGCGTCTTTAAACATAGCCACTCGAGCTCTCATGATCGATGACACGTTTGCAAATTGCACATTGTTTTACCGGTAACTGTTCATTTAACATTATAGTAAACTGGTTTTCCAGTTGGTAGTGTTGTTCGAGGGACCAAATGATCGGATGTCACAGCCACAGTAAACACGGTGGGGACGACAGACCCAAGAAATTTTACCATGTCGGGCTACTTTAGATAGACATATGCAATGTTATCACAGTTGTTTATGATGGTATATGACTAGATCCATTCCCACATCCACATATGGCTGTCTCAAGCAGTAAAGGTGTTTTCTATTAATATCTTAATTATTCTTCGATTTACATCCCATGCGGTGCTCCTTCATAATGGTTTGCTGGATGCTATAGCCAAAAAGGAAAGCCCGTAGAAAGTTGCCACGGCTTCATATGTTCACCACCATGCCTAAATTGTTTGCATTAATTTAACAATTTCATCAGCTCGTATACACCTTATACAAAGTACAAGCCTGTTTAAATAAATAGTGAAATACGTTTATTTTTGCCCTCCAATATTTCAGTGGTCATCGCGTCGCTTTTACTGGGGATTGTTCCGCTAATTCACACGTCAGGTAGAGATGACAATCAACCCTATTTCCTTTGTACTCGGAATTTTTTCTAAGTATAACTGAAATTTCTTTGTAAATTACCTATCCTCACACCCCATAAAATTTATTTATTTTATTATTATTATTATTATTATTATTTTGTAAATGAAAAAAATCAAAGTAGTATTCTAAGAAGACCTTCAAGCCTTTCATAATCCCAACCTAATAATCTAAATAATTTGATCTACACATATATGTACTATCACGTCTCTTATTAATTGGATTAGATAGCGAGTTTGCTATTTAAATGTTAACCAAGGAGGTCTGCCTGTAAAAGCTATTATGACAAGCAGTCCCCAGGTAGTTAACTCCACGGCGGCTTAAATGATCGCTTTTTCTGTTCATTTTTCCATCACTACACAGACAAAGTGTTCAGGTTAATACTCACACAAAGACCCGACGTGGTTTTATTTTTAGCATTTCCTCCTCATTGTTTACTGCAGTTGCTAACCTCAATTAACAAAATTAGGGAAGCAATTATGTGACGGTATATTTTTATGAAAACAGTCAACAGATATATTTCTCTAAGCGTTTAAAAGTGGGGATAAAGCGTTCTAACAACAGGGAAGAGAGGAAAGTCTGATAGATCGGGAGCGGGAGATATGTCTTCAAATCGGCAGACTTCCGACGTCTCTTTCTATAACCTTTGAATTTGTACTAAATGTGCTATAATTTTTGTTAAAAAATCGTTTTTGAGTTATCCGTATCTTTTATTATCATACAATAATTGATGTTACGTTATATAAGGTTATGCTTTAAGGTTTTGGGCACAGTGTGTTTTCCGTCAACACAAGAAGAGAAAAAAATCAATATCAAGAATCAATTACCAGACGAAAACATCGCATTTTAAGCGAAGCGCAAACCACGTCATTATGGAGCAGATTCACAAAAAGTAATAACTGCGCGAATATGAAGTATGAAAAAAAAATAAAAACCAAAATGTAACAAATTCCATGCAAAATTAGATAAACAGGGTAAAGAAAAGAGTGACTGACTGAAAAGTATTAATAGTACACATACATTTTACGTAATGTCCTGCCAACCTGTGCAATGGCTCCTTGTTCGTACCAAGAGTTGCGTTTTAGAAATACGAGTTAAATATCCCAAAAAGTCAAGTTATTTTCGACGTGTACGATCCATTTTGGACAACAGTGTATGTATGATGTATGAAAAAATTTATTTCAAATGGAAGATATGTCAAAAAAAATTTAAATTATCGGACTAATTACCATTAAAAATCCTCGAATATGAAGTTGGGTTTTACATTGACTTAAAACGTGCATTCACACAACACATAAACAACATAGTGCAACGAACATCTATCATATCGCGGAATTGATTGGAAGGGGGTTTCCTGCTCCTATAAACAAGCCCGCTTTTCACTCTCCAAAGCAATACATGGTACAAATGCAGAGTTCCACACATTGTTAAAGTTTGATATTTTTACTTATTTTTAGTTAATTGAAAAAAAAATTGGAACCCAAGGTTCAGAAATGATTAGGATTTCCTTGTAAATGTACGGAGAAGAGATAGAAACGATAACATCCATCGATTAGTTCTTTTAAAAATGGAGGTACATGTACTAGTAAATAGCAGTATGCCTCCTCCGGTTTCAGGAATTTCTCAATCTCATACATGTGAAGTTATAGTAATGATAGAATGAGAATTGGTCTCAGTGAACTGTAAATAACCACATTACATCTTATATTACACATTTAACTTTAATTTACACCTTAATTGCCTCCATAAAAAAAGCGTATTAGTTTTTGTAGTTATGATAAACGATCCAAAAGTGCCGTCTGGATATACAATTTGTAGGTGGCACATCTCTTTATGAAAGTTCTGCACTCAACAAATCCTTTTGAACCATGTGTAATTGATAAGGTTCAGACGAAATTTATCTTAGCCAAAAAAAGCCAATACATAAAAATGATATGCTCACGTACAATAGTAAAAGTCGATTATCTGTCACGTTGTGGCAACATAATCATTTTGTACACAGTCAACAATAAAAAAGCACCAAAGCGTACACATTATACGGAATAAAGAGTTGATACATTGATTTTTTTTCAGTTTCCCACTGCCATACCAGAAACGATGGCCCAAAGCATGAAATAATGCTGTCGAGTTAAATCTACATCAGGGTGAATATGCTAGCTGGAGCTTGTGATATAACAGAATCGTTTTGGGGGTGAAAAATGTTATCGCTTTCAAACAAATCACTTTCACCTAAACAGCTAACGACTTTGTTTTAAGGTGTATTGTATCACAACGATAAGTCCCCCTATTAAGTGCCAGGAAATTAGTTTGAAAAGGGAACATCTTATTTTCTCAGTTTAGAGCAAAATAACGGTTTTGTTAAATGCAACATCGTACTTGAGGAGCTTGTATCACCTAAAAAAACAAATGAAAATCAAAGCAGGCACCAGACTTTGTTTACCACCCTAGTCGTCAACCGTGCCAATTTTAATGAAAATGCCTTAATAAGTTACTACATGTACCCTCCATCAGGGCCGCAGTTATAATTGTGGACATTTTTTGCTGAGACATCAGACCAAAATGACTGTGTATTTATCTAGAGAAATATGTGTGAATATCATTGAAAAATCAATCTGTCAACCTGGAAGAGGGTTCAAAGTTGCGGAGTTACGACGGACACCCGTCGATTACTTGCACCTTTTTACGAAGAAGCGGAAGAACTACAAGCGGTGGTTTGACCCAATTATCCCTCTTGCAATCACGTCGACTTTCACTAGTTTAGGTCCGTAATGTGAGCGATCAGCACTAGCACATTCCTAATACAAAATCAATGTTGAGTTGTTGACAAAACTTCCCCAGCGTGGCATACCATCTAATAATACATATTAAGCTTTGCACGACAAAATCATTTAATTATTTGGCAACAATAAAAAATACTTAAAAAAGACGTGAAACGAAGTCACGAATGCTTCCCTGAAGTATTCATTTGACTGTCTCGTCTTACAATGTACTCAAGCAGTTGCCTTCATGATATTCATAGCCAGTGCTTGTCTGCAAGTCGCCGGACTGGGCAGTGTTGAGCAGTAGTTCACAGACACATTGGTCATTTCCAGCACAGAGAATGTTTATGGCCACACACTTCCAGTTTTGCACACAGGAGATGCTGCATTCGATGAGGCTGCGGACATTAAGCGTGGATATGGGCACAAGGGTTGCGCGAGCATCTGCTGCTACCCGTTTGAACGTAGTTGTACTTGTAATACCTATACAAAAAATAACTACGGTACTTACGAAACCTGTAGCAAAGACGCGCGAGTAAGTAATTTACCGTTTTTTTCAACGTTGAATTAATCATAAATTGTGTTCATGTAAGATTAACAGATGCATGCAAACCCCTAAAAATTCATATTAATATACATATGTACGCAAAGTGAAATACTGTAAACTCACCATGAACCTCCACCTCACAAAGCTGCAAGTAACTATCGTCAATACCAACTTTAATGATCAAGACATATCGTCCTCTCAGTGGTGACCCACAGGACATAGACGTGTTCCCCACAGGTGCCACCCCCGGGTAACTGGCGCAGAGTTTGTACTGGGTGAATGATGAATTATTCACATAAGAGGTTCCGACTCTCACTTCGACATTATTCAAACGGTCAGCTGAAAATAAAAAGTGGCTAATATTTAAATCTAATATTACACATGTAGCGGCAAAGTAAACAGTAGATCAGGGTCCCGTATCTCGAAAGCTTCGCTATGTTGCGCACGTGCGCGAGCATGGCGAGCGTGCGCTATTTGCTAGTGCGATTGCAACCGCCTACTATCT